CTCCTCTCTCTCCTCCCTCCTCTCTCTCTCTCTCTCTCTCTCTCTCTCTCTCTCTCTCCTTCCTTCTTCTCCTCATCAAAAGCGGCACTTTCTTTCCTCCTCGTCCTTCCGCGCGATTTTACCCATTGTACACGCTCTTCGTCCTTCGAGTTTCGCGTCTTTTCTACGTCTCTCCTTCCATCCCTCCCCGTAACGCAAAGGCCCGGACTAACAGTTTCTGTTTCTCTTTTTCGTCCGTCTTTGTCACGGCCGCTTCCTCTATCCGGTAATAACTTCAACTATCGCCTTCATCGATCTCCCTATCACTGTTTTATCTCCGGGTCGCAATGGCGTCGCCGCTCGTGGCCTATCTGCCGTTTCGTTTCCGCCTGTCGGCTTAGCGGTTCGTCACAAGAAAGAAAGAAAGAAAGAAGGAAGGAAGGAAAGGATAGATGGATGGATGGATGGATGGATGGAAGAGAAAGAATGGTGCGTCCTTCTCGGTCGGGAAAAATTATTCGAATCGGGAGGCAGAGGAAAGGAGTTACAAGAACGAGGCAGAAGGAGGGAGAGAGATAATGGGAGGGAGACGCGTACGTATAGTCACTGTGCGCGCCTTTTTTTATCGGGTTGAGTTATCTGCGACCGTTGGAGGAATTTATGATAGCGCATGACCGATCCAGTGATAGCGCTTATTGTGGCGATGCTAATTCGAACGCGTTTTAAACCACGGTGAAAAATTTCAAGGCGTCCTACTATTCGACGCTTTTCGAACGCGATTAACTCCGAGTTATTGAAAATTACGGATTGTTTTATTTTCTTTTTTTTTTTTTTTTCGTTAGAGATGCAAGATAGGTGTACGATATATTATTATGGAGAGAGAATTATTCGCGATTCTTCAAACACGTGCGCGGACACAACAGTTCGGTCGCGATCCCCTCGGATTAAGAAAACAACGGCTCGTTCGTTAGGTTGCAAACGATATGCAATATCGGTAGCTTCAAAGCAACACGCAACTATATTCCATATACAATCGTGAAATATAAAACAGATTAATCCAACCCTTTTTTCTTATAATCCTTTTAAGACAAATCGTATTTTATTTTAAAATCGTACCAGACTTGTAGAAAAAAAAATAATCCGAATACCTGGATTACGAGTATCGAAGGAATTAAATACGTCTTCGTAAATAAATAAATCGAAGAGTGTGGTTACAACTCTCAATTCAATAATTCGTCGAGATAATAAGCATGCTCGATTTTAATCTGATTCCTGATATTTAAATAACAGATGATGTAACGTCAAACGTATGAAAAATCCATCCAGACATCTCGACGTACAACTTACGACAAATTACGATCAAACGAACAAGAAAATTTAACAAAGATAAAGCGAACGAAACCGAGTTTTAAAGGAAAAGAAAAGAAAAAAAAAAAAAAAAGAAAACACCCTCGATCCCGAAGTCGGAGTTCCTACCAATAGACGAGACTAGCATCCGCCAGATAAATAGCCGGCTATCTTTAGCCCGATGCACGAATCGAAGAGACGAGGGAAAGAGAGAATCTGCGGCGAACCGAGCGTCGATCCGATAAGTCGAACGGGGACGAGGATATGGCTAATCTTTCGGCGATCTTTCGCGAATCAGCCAAGTATCTGCGAGAGCGCGAGCGCGATCCTCGCTCTGCCCGGCTCTCGTTCGAGGTTATGCTGATAAAGCTTGGCTACATTATTCAGCAGATGAGAAAGAGAGGGGGGGGGGGGAGGCAGGAAAACACGCGCGTATATACGCAATGGAAGTCATCGCGAGAATTCGATTTATTCCTCGTGCCTTTACCTTTTTTTCGTGCTTTTGCCTTTCTTTTCCCGCCTTTCGTGCCGCATCTTGAATGGATTTTCTTTCCTTCGTCTCGAAATTTCTATCGTGCGAGTGGAATCGAAATAATTCACGACGGGGGAATTCTCGTATTTTTACCAGATGTAAGAACCTTAAACTGGAGGACGACGAGTAATTATCTTTTTCTACGCGAATCAGATATTGCACTTCCTATTTAAAAATGCCTTCTCATTTTCACTTTCGCGCATTATTTAAAAAATCACGAATTTTCAGATTCTTCGTAAACTGCCAATCGTGCGGGGAAAAGTATATTCAAAGGTTTCGCATCAATTCGTTTCAGATTATCGACAAGTCCCGTATTTTCCTATTAAAAAAAAAAAAAAAAAATACCGGCAGGAAGTGCCGCGTCGCGAAAGCAAACCGCGGTCGATGCTCGTTGCACGATCATCCGAGACGAAACGATACATTAATTGAATAGTAACTCGACAACCAGCCCTCGAGGGAAAAAACGAGTTTCCATCGATAACCGAGTCATCGAGCCAACCACTCGCAGCCAATTACCAGTTAAATTGCCTTCCCCTCGATATCAATTTATTAACTTGCCCTTTCTTAACATCTAACCAACGAGTGCAACATGTATTCCCTCTCCACGTGTCATCATTCGAGTCGCGGAATACAACGCAAACCCCACTATTTACTTTTGAAACTTTCAACAAAAGAGGTTATTAAGCTCCTTTATAATCCTGCGAAAACGTTCTATTGAATGTATGAAAAAGAAAAAACACTTTGAATAATCAATTACATACCTTTCATCTCGTCGTCCAATTAATCCACATCGTTATATCAAATAACCTCATGCTCGCAGAACAAGAAGCGTCATCTTTATAGTCGATCTCTTTAAACAAGCCCCCGCCGTTGCTAGAACAGCTCGAGTAGCGCGTGCGCCGTCAATCACAAAGGCTGCGCGCGCAGCCTTCTTATTTTCCACCCGTGTATTCAATTAACGCGCGGAGTCGCGCGGTATCAAGCCCTCTAATTTTGCGACATTTATCTCACGTCGTTCTGGATTGATTTACGACCCCCGACGATCGAACCTACCGAAAATCGATCATCGATATCAAAGCCGCCGCGTTTACACCGCGTTCTCACCGACACGAATTTTGCATAACGATATTATTTAGAGCGGCGCGGATCTCTCATCGTAAATGAGATCGATA